GAGAGAGAGAGAGATTTATGTCTAGGATGACCGGGAAGGAAAAAAAAAAAAAACACACACACATCTAATCACGCTGTTCCAAGCTCTCCCGACGGGGTTTATTCTGCAACTTTTCATCCATCTATCTATCCTTCCTACCTACCTAGATAGCAAGCAAGCACTTCTCCCGCATACCCCCTCCTCTCTCGTCGCCAGCACCACCACAAGAGCGGTAAGTAGTGAAACGGTGGCATTTTCTCTCTCGCCCAAACATCTGTTCGTATACATATATATATATATATATTGCACAAGAGGAGGGAGGGAGAGAGGCTGTTCTGACGCATGGGATTTGGATCTCCGTATCGAGTTTTCTTGCTGCTACCGAGGGTTGTCCTTTCCCCTTCCCATAGCATTCTTCTTTCGATCTCAGAAAACACACCCACACCCACACAGCCAAAGGCCTCCCCCTTCTACAATACAATGTCGCTTGATTACTTCCAACAAAAGTGTGGTAAATAAAGGTAGATAGATAGGGCCTCCTCTTCATGCAATACCAAACCACCACCGGCCCAGTAAAATCCAATCCCGGCCCAGCAACCATCCACCTCCCACAAACCAAACTCCAACGACTCAATCCGCGCACAAAGATTTGAAATAGACTGGGGAACAATCCCAAGCTCCATGCCGCAACGCTCCCGCTAAATGCTCTCCAGAAACAAAACTATCTCACCTTCTCCAACGACTAAAGATCCCGCCCTGTGAACTGGGCGCCCTCGACCGCGGCTCTATAAAGCCTGATTCGCGGCGGCGACTCGACCTCCGGCCATCACCCTGACTCCCTTCAGAGCTCTTCACCTGCTCCCTCTCGTGGCGACGGGCTTCACGCCTCTTCCGCCTCTCTTCTGCGTACTCCTCTGCCTCGTCGTCGGCGTGTCGGCGCGTCTTCCTCATGCGTCGCCGTTCTCTCTCATCACCAGCCGTCACGTCGCCAGGACCATCGGTTGCGGGCGCATCCTCTGGCGGAGGGGGCGCATCAGTATGATCTTGAACCCATGAATCGGTGCCTGAATGTGGCCAGCCTGATTTGTGACTCTTGCGTCGGGGTTCGTGCTCCGGCTCGCCACGTGCCGTGCTCCCATGCCTCGAGTCGAAATAGCTGTCGACGATAGGTGCTGACTTGCGGCGGCTAGTCTTTGGAGTATCGATACCACGAGCGGCGCGTCTTTCCTCGCGCCTTCGACGGCGGTCTTCCTCGTCCTCCGGGCCATCCACGTGACTTTTGCGACGATCAGATCTGCGGAGACGCCCCGGTGTCTCCACCAGTGGCTCACCATCTGTGTGAGTGGCTTCGGCTCTGGCATCCCGCTCGGCTCTGGCATCCCGCTCGGCTCTCCTGGCACGACGGCGTTCAGAACGTTCGACCTCTTTAGCTTCAGCAGCTTGTCTTTCGGCCTCCTCCAGAGCTTTCTGCTCCCGTCGAGCTACGCGTCGAGCTTCCTTATCTTCTTGCCGACGGGCTTCCGATTCCTCTTCTTGTTTCCGGCGCCGCTCTCTTCGTTCCTTATCTTTGGCCTTTCGAGCATCCTCGGCAGCTCTCTCCATGGCTTCCTTCTCAGCTCTGCGAGCACGTCGAGCTGCACGCCTAGCAGCCTGGGCCTCCTCATCCTCTTCGGCCAGTCCGCCAGTCATCGTGATATCGGCATCCTCAGAAGAACGTTTGATCTTTCGATCCTCTCGTCTCAAGCCACGCGCACCGCCGTCTTCTAAGGTGGAGCGACGTTTCGTTTCGGGGCGAGGCTTGGAGAGGAGTCCACCCAACATTCCACCAAATCCTGTTTTCTTCGCACTCGAGTCAGACCTCTTTAGTCCCGGAATTTCGGTCGGGCCACCAGCATCCACCATTACAATGTCTTCGTCTTGCTTGGCCTGCTTTGACGATCGACCGTTAGCACTCCGATCCTTGGATGGTGACCCCCTTGGTCTCCAATATGGCATATCGTTGGTGGCAGGTGGCATTGGAACGGCCGGGGGCGGGCCCGAGTCTTGCGTTACCTTCGATTTTCTTTTGTGGTCACGTCTCGACCTTTCGCGAGGAGGAGAGATGTCGTCAGCTCCCACAACAACAATATCATCGTCATCTTCAAGACCTACTTTGGTCGTCAGTCAACTCTCTCTCTCATCAAAGAACGGGAGCTAGAACGTACCCCGTGATTTGCTCTTCTTTTCGGATTTGCTTCTCGCAAGCTTACCGGGAGTGACACCGAGCAATTTCGCCGCTTTCGAGGACATCTCGGGTGGAGGAGATATAAGACCACTGTCGACGACTGATTGCCTTCTGGAACTGTTCCTCCCAGAAGTACTGGACCTCCTTTCGGATTTTGATCTTGATAACGGTGGTGCTGCGCCAAACATGCTGGTAAAACCCCTGGATATCGGAGGTCTATCAGCCTTGTCGGATGAAGAGTCCTTGGACGAGACTTTATCTCCTTTATCAGACCGTCTGGACTTTGATTCCCTGGACAATTTCTTCTCCTCGGGGGCCAACTTGCGATCCTTGGAGGACTTCTTCTCCACCTTCTCTCCGACTGGAGCTGCTCCCCAGGCACCCCAAGAGCTTCCATCACGAACAACACGAGGGCGATCCTTCTTTGATGATTTGGGCTCCGGAGGCGGAGTTGGGGGGGTTTCGACTACGGGTTCCACCTCCTTTGGAGCTTCCTTGGACTTACTTGCGGATTTTCTCTTACTTGACTTTTTAGCACTGGGCATTTCAACGAATTCGTCGTCTAAGAGGTCCGAAGGAAAGCTGCCGGGAACTGCGCTGGATCTGGATTTCCGAGGCGGGGTAGGTGGCTCTTCGACGACTGGGTCTGGGTCTGGAACTGGAATTGGGGCTTCAAAAACCTCCTTCTCTCTTTTGGACTTGGACTTGGACTTCTTCTTATCCTCCTTGGCTGGCGGAGGAGGCGAGGGGGGCGGAGGCGGAGGTAGCGGGAGTGGCTCCTCAACTTCTTTGGGTGACTCAAAGGCTTTCAACCTATCAGCGATTTTGCTGCCGCCGCCCACTGCTTTCCTCGTAAGAGGCAGGAGGTTCGCCTTGTCAGCGGTCGCAGTCTCGTCGCGAGCCGCGCCCTTGCTCAACTTCTTAGTGCTTGCACCCCAGAAGCTGAATACTTCCGACTTGTCCTCGATCTCGACCTTTTCCTTGCTCGGGCTGAGCTCAATCAGGTCTAGCTCCGGCTCAGGATCCTCTACCGCACCCTTTTTGGATTTGCTTGATTTGCCATCCTTTTTGGACTGTCGCGAAGAGTTAGTGGATCGAAGCTTGATTCATCAAATAAGTGTCCAAGGTCTCAGTATGGATATGCAACCTGCACGGGATGGACTGTGTGGAGGCAGGGCGGCGAAATGAATGAATTGCTTACCTTCTTTGCGCCGGCCAGAGCGGCCTTCTCCTCGATCTCCTTGGCAGTCTGATAGGGGAAGGGGTCAGCAAGTGATCTGTGAACACCTCAAGACCAAGATCACGACCAAGGACGAAAGAAAGGAATCGAAAAGTGCGCAACACATACCGCCTCCTCAGCCTCTCGCGCAGCCTCTTCTTCCGCCTCCCTGAACGCAGCCTCAATCTCTTCGTCTTCGAGTTTCTTCTTTTTCGCAAGCTCGTCGGCCTTCTTCTGCTCTTTCTTGGACAACTTCGGAGCTTTCGCAGCTTTGGCCTTGGCCTCTTCCTCTTCCTTCAGCCTGGCTTCCTCCTCCTTCAGCTTGGCTTCCTCTTCCTTCAGCCTGGCTTCCTCGGCTTCAGCCTCGGCTTTGGCTGACTCCTCAGCTTCTTTGGCTGCGGCCTCTTCTTTTTCCGCCTTCTTTTTAGCCTTCTCGGCCAGTTTGTCGGCCTCTTTTTGCTCCTTCTTGCTCAGTTTTTTGGCAGGGACCTCCTTTTCCTTGGACTTCGTCTTCTCAACAGGTGCGAAATTCCATTCCGGTTCTGGCTCTGTCAAATCCATTGCGGGAGGCGTCGGGGCCGGAGGAGGTGCTTCGATAACGGCTTCGAGGCCTTTCTTCTTACCTTCCTTCTTGTCCTTCTTGGATGTACTGAATCCGAATGTTGAGGTCCATTCGTCTTCAGCGGCTTTGGGTTCCTCAACGACGGGTGGGTCGGATGGCGCCTCTTCGATGGCATCGAACGCACTTTTCTTCCCTTTCTTCTTGTCTTTCTTGGAAGTAGATCCGAACCCTGTGCCCCAGTCATCCTCAACAACTTTAGCTTCTTCGACCGCAGGTTCAGGCTCGGGTGGAGTCTCGTCCACTACCTCGAAGGCGCCCTTCTTGGATTTCTTTTTATCCTTATTCTTCGACTTAGAAACAGAACCCCACGTATCGATGACTGGCTCCTCGATGGCATCGGGCTTAATCGGATCGTCGGAGACCGAAGCCTCTGCCACCTTCCCCTTCTTCTTTTTCTTGTCTTTCGCTGAAGTTCCCCATCCCGAAAAGTCGTCCTCGGCTTCAGGTACAGCAGGTGGAGGAGTCGGGGCGCGTTCGGGAATCTCATCCTTGACTTCGACGAGTGCCTTGGATTTCTTGTCTTTGGATTTGGTGGTACTATTCTGGCCCCAGTTTGTCCAATCATCGTCCTCTGCCACCGTCTCCTCGATGAGGGGGGGAGGAGCTGGGGACGTTTCCTTCGTCTTACTGGATTTTTTCTTGTCCTTCTTAGACGAAGTCCCGAAGCCCCATCCAAAATCTGTCTCGGGAACGGGTTCTGTTCAAGCAGATTAGCATCTCCCCGTCTTATCTGAGAACAGGCTGCACTCACCTGGTTCGGGAACCGGCTCGACCTTTGGAGACTCTCCCCACCCTTCCTTCTTGTCTTTGCTCTTCGAACCCAATCCGAAGCCCCAACCGGACTCTTCTTTCACGACTAGGTCAGGCTCGGGCAAGGTCTCGATTTTGGGGAGCTCTTCTTTGCCTTTTTTCCCCTTTTTAGTCTTTGAGCTACCGAAACCGAATCCCCATCCGGATTCTTCTTCCACGACTGGGTCAGGCTCGGGTGTGGGCTCGATTTTGGGAGGATCTTCTTTGCCTTTCTTCCCCTTCTTCTTGTCTTTGGAGGACAAGGAAAATGTTCCCCATCCACCGGCATTCTCTTCGATGACCGGTTCAGGGTCTGGAGTCGGCTCCTCGACCTTTGGGTCATCCTCAACAACCGCTTTGTCTTTCTTATTCTTCTTACTCTTCTTCGAAGTAAGAGCAGAGAATCCCCATCCGGTGTCTTCCTCGACAGGTGTTGGCTCGGATTCTGGGGTAGGATCCTTTGCTTTCGGTTCTTCTTTTGACTTTTTCTTTCCGACACCGAGCCATGAGCCCCAGCCACCAGTTGCCTCGGGTTCGGGCTCGGGCTCGGGATCGATAATTGGATCAGGCTCCTTGACTGGCTCGACCTGACGGATTATCAGACTTCGAATCTACATTGACGGTTGCAAGAGTCACTTGGCACACTTGTACCTAGTCCGAGTCGCACCAGCAACTCCATGAAGGAGATGTTTTGTTCAAGTGAATTGTAACAAGCAAATTGTGCGGGCAGGTTCCGCCTCTTCGAAAGCAAGCGAAGAATATTAACAAGGAAGTTTTTGCTTACCTTAACAGGCTCTTCGACTGCATTTTTACCCTTCTTGCCTTTCTTACCCTTTGTAACGACAGGAGCGCCCCATCCGAAATCCTCGACCACCGGCTCAGGTTCTGGCTCCGGCTCCGGGACTTTCTCCTCTACCTTGGAGACTTCTTCAGCAGCCTTACCCTTCTTTGACTTCTTACTATTTTTGCCAACAGGAGCTCCCCATCCAAAATCTTCTGCAGCTGGTTCGGGCCCAGGCTCGGGATCCGGTGACTTGACTTCTTCGACCTGGGGCTCTTCAACGACAGATTTGCCCTTCTTGCCTTTTTTGTCTTTCTTTGCAGGGGCCCCCCAACCAATATCTTCCACGGGTTCCGGCTCCTTTTCGGGCTCGGGAGGGACCTCTTCGACCTTGGGAGGCTCCTCGACAACAGCACCTTTCTTCCCCTTCTTCTTATCCTTCTTGGTCGAGAAACCCCAGCCATCATCCACGGGGTCTTCTTTCGCCGGTTCTGGCTCGGGGATGGGTTCCTCGACCTTAGGAGGTTCCTCGACTATCGCTCCTTTCTTTCCTTTCTTCTTGTCTTTCTTAGATGTCGTCGTGAAACCCCACCCATCATCGGCCGGTTCTTCCTTGGCTGGCTCTGGCTCAGGTGGCGTCTCTTCCACCTAGGAAAGACCAGTCAGCATCATAATATATGTGATAGTAGGTAGACGGCAAGCGAGCCGAGGTGCCAAAATATTGTAATTTTTCGTAAGCGAACAAAATGGATGAGTGCCTACTTTCGGGGGTTCCTCAACAATAGCACCCTTCTTGCCTTTCTTCCCCTTCTTTACAATAGCTGGCGATGACCAATCATCTTCGACCACTGGAGCTGGTTCTTCAATCTTCGGTTCGACTTTGGGTGGATCGGGTTCGACAGCACCCTTTTTACCCTTTCCTTTCTTCCCCTTTGAAGTCCCCCAGCCCACTCCACTCCAATCATCCTCAGCAACAGCAGCAGGCTCCTCGGCGACCACAGGGGTCTCTTCGATGGGATCTTCGAACGCAAACACATCCTTATTCTTGGCATTCTTCTTCTTATCCTTCTTCGACGAGACGGAGGAGAAGCCAAAGTCAAACGAGTCGTCCTTTTTATCAGGATCTGGCTTCTTTGGATCCTCCTCGTCTAGAGCCCCGAAAGAAAATCCCACGCCTCCCTTCTTTTTCGGCTTCCCACGATCCAAACTCCAAGGATTGCCTTCGGCCTCTTTCCGCTCGTCGGCGGCAGCAGTGTCTGTGACAGCGGAGAAATCCCAGCCACTACCATTCCACATAGTCAGCAATATATCCATCTCCAGCCAGTGCTGCTCCGTTCTCCAAGCAGTACATTTCCCCTACTGACCTCTTTGCCCCTGTTTTTGTACCACCGGTATCCCAACTACTGCCCCACGAGCCAAACGCTCCTGTACTTGTCTTCGTCGTCCCAGTGTCGAAGCTCAAGTCCAAAATTGGGCCTGTGTCGTCCAACTTGATCTCTGAAAAGGCATCGAACTTGTCCGCAGCCGGTATCGCAGGCGCAGCCTCCTCTGCCTTGCCCTTCTTGCCCTTCTTCCCCTTCTTTACGGGAGCGAAGCTATCCCACTCGTCCTCAGGGGGGTTTTCACCCGCCCCGTCTCCGTTGCCATTTGCATCGTCCTTCTTATCACCGTCACCACCGGCGCCAGAGTCACCACCGGCGCCAGAGTCACCTCCAGCGCCAGTGTCACCTCCCTTCTCCCCACCGTCACCGTCACCTCCTTCGCCCTCTGCCTTCTTGGCCGTATCATCCTCGTCGCCATCCCACTTCGACTTGGCGGCAGGTGCTTTGGCAGCCTTCTTTCCCTTCTTCCCGGCCTGTTTGAAGCCTTCTCCAGACTGGAAATCGACCTCGAAGGCCATCGTAGGGTCCCGGAAGAGTGAAGAGTCGTCTACTCTCTTCTCCACTGTAGAGGAAGGGGTAATCTTTGCTTCGGTCGACTCGTATGTCTGCTTTCTGGCAAGTGCATCGGTCGTCGGTTCGAACGATTTGCCGTCTTCGTCACTTGGAGGTTCTACATGTTTCCCCCGCGCAGCGCTCAAGCTTTCGGATATCTTCAGAGGATGGAGATCCGACCTGCATGGCCACGTCGATTCCGCATGCGAAAATACTTCCTGTTGATGCTTGTTAGAGATTTGGGTTGGTGGTTGTTGGGGTCCACACCGCTGGAGTGCGGTGCGGCATGGCTACGCCGCTACTGCACTCTGCAGCTGAGGAGGCCGGTGAGACAAGAAGAATCTGCACGGTTCGTACCAAATGCTTGCGGCATGCGCGGTGGGTGCGCAGTTGTATTTGTATCCATATCCTCGATATCTGCTTCAGCCTTATCCGCGTGTCCTCCTCATCCCACCCAATCGTCCAGGGCTGGATCGTCGCGGAGGCCCCATACTCGCTCCCTGGGCGATCGGCGCAGTACGACAAAGCCTCGACGGCCGCCATGTTGGATATTCGAGCTCGTGGAGGCGCGGGTCGGTATCCGACTCATCGAGGCTACCTGCTCAACGACTGAGTGAGAACGCGGGGGGGATGGGAGCGAGAGCGGGCGGATGGAATTGGCGGTTTTCCTCGGAGATGGCTAAGGGAGGAGGAGATGAGGCGCGTAGGTACTGGATGGATACTGGGTACTGGGTGCACTGTGTGCTCTGTATCCAAAAATAAAACGAGCCCCAAAAAAAATAATCAAGGGAACAATACTTAGAGGAGGGTTACACGGGGAACACCCTATATTTTGTCGCAAGGGATATATAATATTGGGGGGGGGGGAAGGGGGTGGTGTTTTTTTTGGGGTTTCTTCGGT